AGACAACAATCAATAAATGGGACCTCATGAAACTGAAAAGCTTCTGTAAAGCAAAGGACACCATCATCAAAACAAAACGACTGCCTACAGATTGGGAAAGAATCTTCACCAACCCTTTGTCATCTCTTCTTTTGTGACAGGTGCTTTTGGTATCCCACCTTAATAACTCTTTGCCTAACTTCAAGGTTTAACAATCTGGTCTTATACTTAAATCAATGGTTAGCTTTTGTATAGTTTGTGAGTCTAGGCTGAGCCTCACTGTGAATTATTTTCCCATATAGGCAGTTGGATATCCAGTTGTTGGGAAATCACTTGATATGTGTAGCTCAGCTGTGGAGTACATTCCTAACACGCACAAAGCTTTGGGTTCAATGCCCAGCACTGATAAAACTGTTTGCTGACAAGACTAATCATTTTCTACCAACTGACTGTATTTGTATACATTTGTTTGTCTGTATTTGTTCTGAGCTCTGCTGTGCCCCACTGTTTTATGTGTCTGTGCCTTTTCCACTTTAACATCACCCTCATTCAAAATGCTTCAGACCTGAAGCATTCACAATCTTCTAGAGAACAGGATATTTATGTAGATTTTCTCTGATAAAGCATCCCATATGGGGGGGAAAAAGGATCTGAAATATAAAACTTGTTTTCATTTTGAGCCTGGGTCTTGATATGCTGCTGGTCTACATATGAACTGAAATTGACTGTGGCAGCATGCACAAAGCCTGTACAGATTGAAGCCTGATGGTTCCAACACTGAGAAGGGAAGTAGACATGGGTTTTCGCCCCTAATCCAGAAGCTGTCTACAATTGATACTCATTAGCAAAGCAAAAATGAGTTTTCTCCAATGGGGTCTCATGGGATATTTTAACCACACTTCAGGGCAGGTGCCACACACAGGGGTAGCTGGCCAACACAAAATTAACTCAACAGTATTTTTTGTAGACTTGTCACATTCTGCTTTGTTGGGGGGTTTTGCTTGTTTCGTTTGTCTAATTTATCTTTTAGTTACTCATTTTGATTTCTGTTGTGGTGTGTTAAATTGAAGCTTGGAGTCCTTCTACCCACCAGTAAAGGGAGCAAGTCAAGGGTCAGCCAGACTCCAGCACAATCATGCTCTGCTCTACAAGCAGCTAAGTACTTCTCCCATTAGAAAGTACAAAATGGGGGCTTCTTTCCCCTCCATGTTACAAGATGATTCGACACATATATGAAATGTCTCTATTTAGAACACATAGGTTCCAGACATATAGTTCTGGGCTTGATCTCCATCACTACAGAAACAACAAAACAAACAAACAAAAAGACAAAAAGAGAACTGAGGGTTTGCATTCATGTAACTTTCTCTAACAGCACAGACTCGGGATCCCACTTTGCTGCATTTAGAAGAACATTTAGGTTGAATGCTGCCCATACCTCCTTCATTTGAGAACAGTTTCTTAAGGCATCTGTCAGTTACTGAGGCATCGCAAGATCTATTTGGTTTATTGTAACGGAAGTTTCCGTTTCTTTAAAAACGCAGTTATGTTATGTAAATAGGATTTCTTTTAATCCCAAGTGTGGGATTTTAGTTTGCCCACAGCTGATAACTGCCTCCTGCGGAGAATGGTCTTTGCCTGCTGGTAAGAGCCTGCCCTGTGGAACACAGACAGGGGCGTGGTCTAGGACTCTGAGGGATATAAATAAGAGAGCCCAGAAAAAGGGTGTGGCATGGGGCAATGTGGCAGTGAGACAGACGGTGTGGTGGCTCGGAGGAGACTGCTTGCTGTGTTTGCTGTTGACAGAGATTGGTATAGCTCCAAAAAGAACGTGGAGGAGACTGCTTGCTGTGTTTGCTTAAGGGGTCTGCAACCCTCTCTCCACTAACCTTCTCTCTCCTACCTAGGGTTGGGGGGTTGAAGGGGAGAAGGTTTAAGGAACCCCAAATAAAAAAGTTTAAAAACGAGCGCAACAGGCTACAAATGTGCTGGCCACACCAAACATTCCTTAGGAATCTCTGTGTTTATTCACCACCAGTTTATCTGCTAATCTATGTCAACCTCATCTTGTGGAAATTGACACAGCCTAGCATAGAGTCGACTCTCTCTAAAAAAAGAGAGAGAATAAATCATATAATAGATGGATAATATCACTACATTTTCAGGAGTTGAGTTAAATGACAAATTATACACTGATTTTGCAAGACCCAGACGTACTCTGGAATGTTTGTTTCTTTCTATCCAACAAGAACTCCTCCTTGTCCTTTCCAGCACTTTCTCGACTACTCAAGAAGGACTCCTTCCATAAATCTGGATCTTTTGAAGTATGTCCTCAATTCCACCAGCACCGACTCTCTGTCCACTTCAAATCTAACCTGCCATGGCTTATTCTCTGCTCCTCAGCTTTCCTTAAGAACTTGGCTTCAGAGGTCTTCACCCGAGGAATGGAGCTGGTGGTACACCCCTCAGAACACCAAAGGTAGCCCTCCCCAGAGCACCAGCACGCAATGCTAACTACCTCGAGCACCAAGCACATGAGCCTGCGCGTGCACAACAGCTGACTGCACGCTCATTAGCTTGCTCTCAATGCAAGTCACGGGCACCTTCACCAATGATTTACATGCGTGAATAGACTCCATCCAAGACTAATCTAGATAACTGGCCAGAGCCGGAGGTTACTTTATGGAATTCCCAGGCAGGGGGAAAGAAGACTGATAGTGAGTTTTCAGATACTAAATAACAAAATGCTGCCCTGCTTGTGACTCAAAAGCATTCCTGTTACCAAGACTAAGAAAGGAGTGAGAAATCGTCAGAATCAGCCCTTCACAGCCATGAGTTCCGTCTTCAGATTCACCCAAGCATGGCTCAAAAGTATGTGAAGAAAACTTCCAGTCAGGTGCAGTGGCTCCAGGCTGCAGTCCCAGCTCCTTAGGACACTAACCCAGAGGGATCCCTTTTGAGCCTAGGAGTTCAAGGCCAGCTCAAACAACAAGGCAAGGCCCCATCTTAAAGATTTAAAAAAAAAAAAAAAATTGTTTTTGTTTTGTTTCCAGAAAGTCCAAAGAGCAAAACCTGACTTTACCACGTACCAAGTTGTGTGCTGAGCGCACGAGTGAAAAGTTATTGCTGTAGTCCACATCTCACACATCCTGTCTCTCGTCAGCACGCTCGCCTCACATCTTATTCAGCTCACGCCCTGCTCGCGATCCGTGTAGTCAGGAATACAGTGGCTGCATCTAGATGGAACGTATGTTCCCTTGGTCATTATTACATAACGACGCACAGCAACTACTTACGTAGTGCTTATGTCGGGTATTGTAAGTACTCTAGAGAGGATTTAAAGGACAGGTTATATGCAAATCCTAAATTTTACATAAGGAACTCTAGAATATGACAAATTGTGGATACACGGGGAGTTCCTGGAGCTAATACTTGGTGGACCCTGAAGGACAAATATGATAACATGGAAACATCATCTGTCCTGTGATTCTTTTATCAAAGGGGATGCATGATTTAAGTCATAATACTAAAATGAAATATCCTAGCAATCAGTGCTCAGTGGTCAGCTCCGGGAATACATTCCTATGGTATTCTCCTGAGGATTCCAGAGCCTTGCGGGGACTCGATGGGAGATGCCCTATTTAAAGTCACACTAGGAAAGACTGCATCTTACTCATCCAGAAAAGCCCTTCAGAAGGGTTCTTACTAACCCTTGATGGGTACAAGCAAGGAAGCTCCCAAAAGGGTAATCACTTCAGAAACCCCAATGCAGTTTGGCATGTAGGTCCAGGACTAGACTTGATCCCACTCAGAACAAGCTGAGACCATCCAAGACCCTAATTAAAGTTAGATCAGCAAATAACTGCCACGCAGAGACAACTAGCTGCTCGGATGACAATCCTGACTTGGGCACTAGCAGCTTCTAAGGTCCCACAGGGAAGCCTGGGAGGAAAAGCACAGCAGCACCGTCTTTAGCCCTGCATGCTCATAACCACCTTCATCTAGCTCTGATGGGCATGGAGGCTAGTCTAGGAGGGAAACAGAGAAACAGCTCGGGCATAAGAGAGCAGCATCTTTTAGCTCACAGCCATGGGTCCCATTAATGTGCTGTAATCAGGGTCCTTGTTTTTCTCTTAGAATAATGGAAAACAAGTGGCAAGAGTCTGCAGTCCCCTATGCTGACCTCTTTCTAGTCCTTGGCACTGCCAGGCTTCTACACAAAATAAAACAGCCCTTTCTGGACTTGTGTGACTTCTTTCTGCTTTGGTCTTCTTTTATCAGGTAAGTCTCCTTGGCCTCCGGCCATCAAATACCCTAATGTTCGGTGAGTACGCATTATAAGGAGAGAGATTTCCATTTTCCCTCAGATTACCCTATGGTAAATGTCCACATCATAACATAGTTAGCAAGTCCTGTGGAGAAAGGCAGGCTCAGTATGTTAAAGAGTTCTAACACAATCCCACACATGTTCCCTGAGCTTTTCAAGACCAGACAGTCTGCCCACGTATCCCAGTCCTTAGGGTTCAGCAGAGCTAAACACAGAGGTACTGTTTCCCCTGCAGTCACTCTGGAAGTACTAAGTTACAAGCCTAGTACTGCTTCACCCTTCCTGATACTCTAGAAGAACTAAGTTACTATAGAGCCAGTACTGTTTCACCCCTTCAGGCACTCTGGAAGTACTAAGTTACTATAAGCCCAGTACTGTTTCGCCCTTCCTGGTATTCTAGAAGTACTAAGTCAGCAACCCCACCCTCTGAGGCAAGCAGAATGCGTGGAAAACTTTTCCCTACTGGAAAATCATTGCAACAAAAGCCTGCTCTGTGGTGCTCTGACAGAGCAGGACAAACTGCAGTTGGTTTTATTTTAACAGCCCTTTCAGCGAGGCACTTAGCACACTACAAACAGCAGCACCGCTTCGGTGGACACAGTGAATTCTTTCACTTCAGGAAGTTTCCAGATGCTGCCTAGATGCACTCACTCTCCCTGGGATTCCTTCTTCAGAGTTCACACACTGCCATTACCTGTAGAGGTGACGGTTGTCTTCAAAATCCTCCTGGCCCCATTTTCCCTTGATGTCTTCAATAACGTGATTCTTGAGGAATTTTCTTAGTAGCTGGATTGTCTGTTTGCGAGTTACCTCGGGTCCAAAGTTTTGACTGTTCCTCAGAAGTTCATGTAGCCAGTCCACAGCTTCAGCCGCAGTAAAGCAATGCTCGTAAGTCTTGAATCGACATCGATGCTTCCGTAATGGCATCCTGGCACGAAAAAGCTCCACCGTTTCATTCCACTAGGCAAAGGACACAGAGCATTTAGTCACAGACTAGCATTTCTTTAAAGCGTGATACATCCCAAATATTTAAATCAAGGAACAAACAGCAGTTTTCCACTTAATAAGCTGCTTGAAGACTAGAGAGTACTTTGCTTAAACAGGACCCTAAGTTAGATGATAAACAGACTGATCCACAAACTGATGGGTTCACAGGTTGGTAGGTGTGTAAATGTGTAGGCAGATAAAATCAAATTATTTTAATCAACAAACACTGGAATGGTAGAAGGAGGCATGGGCTTCTATTTGTAGCCTCCAAACTCTTGAAACTGGAAGAAATGAATGGTGGGAAGCAATGATTACGAAATAGTGTGAATGTAACCAATGCCACACAACTAGACACTCAGAAAGGGTTAAAAGTAGCCTACATTATGGCTATTTTATTACAACTGAAGCAAGCACAGAACCTAACAATAGAAGAGAAACAAGCAAAATGCAACTTGTCAAGGGCTGTTCATCCTTTATTCACTCAAGGAATAGGGATGACAGGACCAGAGGGCTAAGTGCTGAACTTCACAGGTGTGAAAACCTTGGTGGTTAGTGCTGGTTAAACTGAGCTCGTGGCTGGGCGCAGTGTGGCATGCTGCTAAAAGCCCAGCACTCAGGAAGCTGAGACAGGAGAACTCTGAGTTCAAGGCCAGCCTGGAATTCATACGAAATCCCAAGCCCAACTTAGACTATATAGTGAAACACTGACTAACCCGACCCCCCGAAAGTTAGCCCACTGCACATAATTCGTTTCCAGAAGTCCCTTGTGTATTAAGACTTCATTCATCAAACACTTATAGACTGTTCATTGTGTGAGAGGAATCACAACGGGAAAGAAGAGAGTTCCATGTGATAATAATGACACACTGCCAATGCTAAAGAGCTCAAGACAGTGGAGAAAAACATGATCAAGTTTTTGTTTATTTGAAAAAAAAAAAAAAAAGCTGTTTGAAAGGAATCACTAGACATTTCCAATCATACACACCAACTGCAAAGCACCTTCTATTCTTTTGCTGCAGTGAAGTTCTCTCACGCCATTTGCTTGCCTGAGAGGATGCTTGGTTGTGAGGCTCTTCTGGAAGAACACAGTTTAGTTAGGCATGGCGTCTTCAGATGCCACAGGGACAGACAGAAGGCTGACTAGACAGAGCTCAGGTTCTGAAACCCAGTGTGACTGAGATCACAGCCTGCTCGGCTAACGGCCAGCAGGCCGGCCTCATACTCACTGCTGGCCAGGCCTACATGTCTCCAGTTGTAAAGCAACTAAGACCGGAGATGTAAAAAATAAAAATGAAATTCCTGTCACAGCGCCTGCCTGGAAGAAGGTACCTAGTAATTCTCACCCCCATGTCGCTATTGCCTTTATTATCGGAGTGGGTGTGGCCACTAAAGCTGAGCAAGTACACAGAAAAGACCCCTGAACTGAGTCTCCAGGGTTCAGTCCAGTCTCTGTCGATAAGTGCATAGTTTATCGTTACCAGTCAACACGTTTCTGTAGAAATTTATAGCAAACTACACCTCAAAGAAGTTCAAATTCTGATATGTAAAAATCATGGAAGCTAGCTGGTGTGGTGGCGTGTACCATACTATCTTGGTTAAGGCAAGAGGTATGTGAGTTCAAGGCTAGCCTGAGCTATAAAACAAGACAAGACGCCCCTCCTGTCCTCCCACAACAACAACAAAAAGCAATCAAAAGAAAGCTGTGGAGGTAGGTAGGTGTTTTCCATGGTCGGCCTGCTAAGAAATGGGGTAGCATGTTCAAGGTGCTGGCTCAATCCACTCCAGTCAAATCAAAGAACTATGTGGCCCCTGCTTACACTTGGTTTATGAACCTTTACAGAGGCCAACGTGTCAGATCAGTGCATAGTGACTTACTCTAGTACAGCACAGTGACCCTGGCCTTGAACTTGATGTTGGACCCCTTTAACAAGACAGAATCAATCTCTAAAGAATGGGGAAAACATAAGGTTTTCAGTGGGCCCAGGGTTCTTAATCCCAGACCTTCCATTCACTGCTTATTTAAGGTTTGGTACATGTTAAATGTCATAAAAATATCCCGTTTCCTTCTGCTCCCAAGTGCGACTTAAAGAATACCCATGAGCCACTACGACCCTCCACAGACAAAAGCCAGAGCTCAGATCTCAATGTCAAGACAACTCAGCCTCTTTCTCGCTGAATACAAGTGAAACTGCATCAGTGACTGAAAGTCAGGAACTGAGTAGGTCTAGAATAAGGGAGCTACTTATCTAGTTCCTGCTGGGAGCTTTATGAGCACAGCAATGACCTAGTGAGCATCCCAGCATCCCGGTAGTCAAATGATAGAGACAGCAGTGAGTGAATACTGCAAACAGCAGAGAGCGGTCACTATATAAAAACACTCACAGCTTTCCACACCCTATGCCAGAGACAGCAAGAACACCGCAGTGATGCTCCTGCCACGCCTCGGAATTAATCCCACCGGCATGAGGAGGCTCTTGCCTATTCTTCGCTTCTAGGATATGAATGTGTGAATGTATGGCCATCATTTCGTTCCTCAGGCAGCAGGCATATGTTCCAACCTTTCTCCCCATGGTGCCTTCATGTGATCCTCATAGTAACTGTAACTCTTCTATTGGTGTCTTGAACCCAGGAGAGCAAAGACTAAAAAGGAGATGGACTAAAGTCTCGTGTAAGAGCCTTTATTCGAGGCATCGAACAATTTATATTCTGAGGGTTAGGTAAGGTCATGAGAGAAGTTCAAATGAGTTTGGGCCGTATACAGTTATGAGGAAAACTCATGTTTAGAAACATCATTCTCAAAAATAATGGGTAAGATGACGGGTAATCTAGAGTAAACCCCCTCCTCTTTATTGCACCTGGGATGGGCATGAAAGCACACTCCAAGCACAATCCACATAATGGACCCACAGAGGTCACTAGACCTTTGCCTTGTTTCCTTGACACTGTCTCACAAGTTCTCGCAACATTTTCTCACCCAGCTTCATTCATGAACCATGTCGATAGTAACCACCCTCCAAAAAGTTAGGAATTTGTTCAAAACTGCTCAGTGGAGGTCTTCCGTAAATTATTTTTAAGTGAGTTGTTTTTTTGTTTTTTTTTATGACAGTTGTTTCAGTGATGATGAATAAGTAGCTGACTAGCTCCTATACTGTCATGAATCGGGTCTGTCATTTAATTTTTACCATAAAAATTTACCTAACCTGTAAAATTTTATTTTCAAGACAGACATCAGTGCTTTAGGAAATGAAGTTGTTATACCTATAAGAAAGTTCAGCAAGCCGGGCACCTGTAATCCCAGCACTTAGGGAGGTAGAGGCAGGTGGATCTCTGTGAGATCGAGGCCAGCCTGGTCTAAATGCAAATCCAGGATAGCCAAAGCTACACAGAGAAAGAAACCCTGTCTTGAAAACCAAAAAGTAAAAAAAAAAAAAAGAAAATCTCCAGGCTAATAGATTATCAGGCTCTTCCTGGACAGAGACAGAAAGAGAGTGATTTTGAGAGAAAGAAGAGCAGAGCCAAGGAAAATGGAGAGAAAGGCTAAACCTTGAAGGACAAGAGAGAACAAGTCACAAAAATATTTATTTATTAAAAGCTTTAAGGCACAGCTGGATTATCTTCCTAAAATATTGGCAGATTTTACTTTTAATAACAATGGTAATTTCTGGTAACAGCAACCCTCACATTTAGGGGGGGGAAAACTGGTGCTCACTGTATCTTCCAAATCTTAATATTTAACATTAGGTGTCTCATATAATAAAACTGAAAGCTGAATTGATTATCTGCAAAATTCTGGTAAAACTGAAGGGTTGTTTTTTTATTAATTATCCACATACTTTTCTGTCTAATTAGTTGACTAGTCTAAACTAGGCTTGAATGCCATGGGGGGTAGGGGCTAAAAGCATCCAAAGAAAGCATTTCTCTTTACGGATGTGAGAGAGACTCCAGTAGTATCTACATCTACATACTGAACCTCTGCAACCATGAAAAAAGGCACCCCATCCAGTTCTGTGAAGACGACTCTCTTAGTCACTGCTCTATTGCCGTGAAAGACACCACGACCACGGCAACTCTTACAAAATAGAGCATGAAGTTTGGGCCTGCTTACAGTTTCAGAGTTTAGTTCATTGCCATCGCGGCAGGGGCAGGGCAGCACACAGGTAGACACAGTGTTGGAGACATAGCTGAGAGTCCTACAACTGGGGCAGCAGGGAGCAGGAAGAGAGAAACACTGGGCCTGGCCTGGCTTTTGAAACCTCAAAGCCCCACACCCCCAGCCCCAGTGGCACACTTCCTCCAAAAAGGGCCCAACTTCTCCAACAAAGCCACACCTCCTAATCTTTCTCAAGTAGTAATGAGCCTTTAGGAGCCGTTCTTATTTAAGCCACCACAATGACATTGAAAACAGTTCCAATTATTATATTCATTTTTACTGTAAGTCAGGGCAAAGACTCACCATACCAAGACACAGTCTGTTTCGCTTGAACAAGTACTGTGACTAAATTGTGTAGAGGAAGAAATGTGTTCTTTTTTTTCTACCCTGAGGGAAGATATAATCGTCAACCCTTATCCAAGATTTCAGTCACCCACAGTAAACAGCAATCTGAATAATAGAAATTTCCAAAACTTTCCAGCTCCTAAGTTTTCAATTGTATGCATCACCAGATAGCAGTTTAAATGCTCAAGTTGTGTAAATGGCGGGGCCGCTTCTACAGAAGCAATTATGAAATAACCGCTTCTGAGACTATTTTTTTTTCCTTGTCATCACCATTCACACCTCTGAGAGACTAGCCCTAAAGAAAACCTAAATTTATTATTTATTTTATCCTTTCTTTAAATAAATGGATCATTCTGGGTGTTCAATGGGTTGTGCAATGATGCCTCCAATCCTCTTCGCAGGCTCCTTAACAACGTGACTTTCATCACCTCTCCACACTAAAAAGTAGAAATGGGGGCTGCAAGATGGTTCAGCAGATAGGTGCTTGCTACACTAGGCCAGCAACCTGAGTTTGATCCTTGCACATAAAGTTGGAAGGAAAGATATGACTTCCCAAAGTTGTCTTCTAACCTCTACATACACAAACACACCCCACACACAAATACACAACAATAATAATAAGTCATCTATCTTTTTAATGAAAATAAATTTTTAGATTCTAGACTCAGCCTTTTTACTTGCTTTGGCCAAGTAAAAACGTCACCAGCTAAAACCATGGCACCAGGAGACCACTGTGTGAAGATTCTGAGCAAACCTGTCGGAACATTTGGTTCAACTAACACTGAGAAACAGGGTACCACGTGACACCATCCAGCGCCAGTCAAATCACCAGATAGGGACACATGAGTGATCTCCGTAGGAAGAACCACTGACGTGAGTCCAGTCCAGACCAATGACCCTAAGCAAATATTTGGTATTTTCAGCCAAACGAAACAATACCACAGTCTCTAAAATCTTAGGAGAAACTCCACATGTGACATGCGCTATTTTCTGTGAAGAAGATGCATAATCTTCATTGGCTTCTCCAAGTGCTCCCATTAAGTCGAAGAAGAAGAAATAGCCTGAAACCTAGTTTCCCGTCCACCGAAGGTGGCTTAATTCCAGAGACACAGGCTACCTGGTTCTAGAGAGAAAGGAAACTATGTCTCTAAGCATATGAGTCTGAAAGGTGAGTTAGAGTTTGGATGCTCGTCCCCACCTTCTCCGGAGTATAGAGAACGGTGAGACTTGATCTCAAGGTACAGGCAGCTGAGAGTGTTCACAGACTGATCTCGAAGTCCTCTAAAACACTCTGTCTATTCCGCGGTCCTAAAATTACTTCCTCCGAGAACCAACACAGATCAGGCAAGACTCTGAAAAACCACAATTTGTTCCCACAAGAAAGGGACTCACCCTGGTGCATCTGCAGAGCTTCCACACTACCTATCAGAGCGGTTCCCTAAGTGAGCACTAACCCCTGAAACGCCTGCGACAGGAACCGTAGAGGGGCGAGCCACCTCGGCGCTGTGCACCGTTACATAGAACCCTTGTCAGGTGTCAACAGGACCGCTCAGGAAGGAGACACACCCTGCCTGGATCACCGCAATCCGCAAGCGATACACCGTTAGGGTGGTCTCGGGGCTCCACCCACGGTCAATCCCGTCCTAGACGCTAGAGCAGGTCCCGGGGACAAAGAGGAACGCGATCGCCTGCCGTGCATGCAGAAGGCGCGGTCTCCAGCCGAGAACCCAGCCACCGCCGACAGACGAAGGCCATGCCACCTCGGTGGGGCACGCTCCAGGCCCCGTCTGCCCGCTGCAGGGCAGGGTGAGGAGCCGCGACCCCAGCAGACACTCGCCCACCGGCACCTGCGGTCCCGCCACGACCGCGGGCAGCCCGGATCGCGGTGGTGACGACAGCGCCGGATCGGCTAGGACACTCTGTCACTCACCAGCCTGGTGGCCCGGTACGGCCCGGGACCCACGATGCGGTGCTCCATCCCCAACCCGCAGAGGTAGCGGGACGACGCCGGAGCCGATTCCGGGCACCGCGCTGCAGTTTGAATCCCTAGCCCGGAGGTTCCGGGCGTTGATTGGGCCGAGCGAGGGCACGTGACCGGAACTGCGCGAGTGGGCGGGGCCGTGGGGGGCGGGGTCGTGAGTAGGCGGGGCCGTGCGTGTCTGGGATTTCTCTACCCGCGGCTTGCAGGGAGGAAAACACGCTTCCTCCGCGGCTGGGACACTCGCGGGCGTGACTGAACGCCCAGGGTGTCGCCGGCCCGCGCTGGATGGCGCTGCCCAAACCCTAATCGGACTGTCGCCGCCGCGTGCCCACTTGGCACACCAGCTCTGCAGCCTTAGAGCCCGGTGACCCCAAGCCTAGTTGCCCTGTCAGCACCTAGGGCAGAGCAGCTGCAGAGGAAGAAGTGGGTGGTGAAAGGAAGCGAGTTGTCTACTATCCAAGCTCTCCAAGGGGAGGAACATTTAAAAACCAGCTAAGCTAGGCACTCCGCCTTAGTGAGGACTGTAGAGGGACTGTCAGAGCGATAAGGAGGCCCTGTTCAGCTTCTGTTGTGTTCGGTTGAAAAAGTACAGTAAGCCTCCTCCTCCTCCTTAAACTTAAGCTTTCTGTTTAGCAATCTGACTGAAATTGTTGGTCCTTAGTTTATGGGGTTGATTAGCGCGTTTTCTCTGCACTGAATCGCCTACACACTTCCAGCCCTTGTGTATTGTTGGTCCGACTTAGGACTGTTGAGAGAGACAAATGACTTCACCATCCTCTGTATGATATGCCCTTAACTCACTGACTGTGAATCTGTCTGGATATCTCCGTGAAAACTAGGATGGGAGAGTGCTGAACAACTCCACCTTGATCACAGAAGCTGATATGCAATGGACACGTGATTAATTCAACAGACAGTGATTATTTCAAACAGTCAAAACTGGTGGGAGTGATGAGAATAAATAGGGCTGAGCCTGGGACACTGATACGAACAACCCCCTTCCGGGAACATGGTAGAAGAGGGTGCAAAGAATGAGGTGAAAGATGGGGATAGGGAGGAGGGCTGTGAGGAGCTGTCTTCTGGACGTGAGAAGGCTGATAAGGCGGCTGCCCTCATGAACTCACAGCAAATTTGCTTACCTGTACAAGATCTACACACTGTGGAGCCTGCCAACATTCCGGCTTGATGGTGAAGGGCACACGAGTCCACTACTGAGGGGATGATTGGAAGATAGTGGCTGCTAAGAGATGTCATCTATTTTCTTTCCCACACCCATGCTCGTGTAAGCAGCCCTAATTAAACTCCAGTGAGTCATTAAAAGAAGAAGAAAAAAAAACAAGATACAAAATACAGCCTGGACATGCTCAGGTAAAATTTTCTGAGTGCCTGAGGAGGGATGGCTCGGCTAGTAAAGGCACTTTCTGCTAAGGCCAGTGTACGCCCTGAGTTTGATCCAGAGGACCTACGTGATAGCAGGAAAGAACTGATTCCCACAAGTTGGGTTCTGACCTTCACAGATGTACTGTGTCATGCTCAGGCACTTATACACAGACACACACAGGTACACACACACACATAATAAAATAAATCAATACAAATTTAAAAAGAGAGATTGATGAAAAAGGATGAATTCTCCCACCTCATCCTATCCTCTTCAGGTGTATATTTAGTCTTATCGTGAAAAAAAAAGAAAAACTTCCTTAAATGCTGCATACATAATACTTTTGCAAACATGAAAAATTAATTTTATCTCCAATGAGTAATCCTCATCACTCTTTATGCCTCCACATGTTGTAGATCAATTCTGCTTGTCTTTGATGAGGGTTGCCAATGGATGCCTGTATATTTAATACAAGAGGTAGATGGAAAAGGAATTTTAGAGTCTCGTCCATCCTGGTGGTAGAGCTGGGATCCTACAACAAAGCTTGCCCATCCTTAAATTAAGCAGCTTTTGACTTCCATGGAAATCACAGATGTAGAAATCTGCTGGATCCAGAATTCAATTTCAATAATGACCAGTACACTAACAAGTTGAGCGACTTCAAGCTACGTATTTAACTCCCCCCTACTTGGGGGCAAAGTGGAAATCTTGGCAGTTGTCATGCAGAGCTGATGTGAGGACTTAAAATGATACATTAAGGTACTCAATTGGTGCCCATTATATAGCAGTAGTTACAAGATGGACCTCAGCGCTTGAGAGATGGCTCAACAGTTAACAGCCCTTACTGTCCTGGCAGAGTGCAGACTTTATATCCCAGCACCCACATCAGGCAGTTCACAATGACTTGTGACTCCAGAAGACCCAGTGCCTCTTCTGGCCTCCACAGGCAACTGCACTCATGTGCACATTCCCACATACAGACACACGCACCCACGCATGATTAGAAAATAAAATATGGTCAAAAGGAGCTACCTCTGAAAACGAAGTCATACTAGCTTCTTCAGCATCTTCCCAAGTTCTCTATGAGCCAAGGAAGATAATTTCCACTAACTTGAAAGGCACATGTCCACGGAGGATCCACATATCAGAAGCCTCAGCGGCAACCTTGGATGTAATATAAAGAGACTGCTGATCACCTACCAGGCTTTCCGCATCTCATCAGAACAGTTCACCGACTTTTACCCTCTCCATTCCCCCAAATCCAGTGCCTTCTTCCCCGCTTGTCTATTTTTCATCCACAGCTAGCCTTCTTCCTGTTTCTCAAACATATTCCTGCTTCACGGCCTTTGCAGTGCCCTGCCAGGGGTGGTGTTGCTCCAGCTCCTTGCATGGCCTCCATCAGTTCTACCCTGAAGCCTGCCTACAAGCATCTCTTAGCCTTTAGTGTGAGGTTTCATGTCACGCTACTAGCATTGCTTTTTTCCCTCACAACACTTAACATGCATCTAGTTTTGGTTTGTTTGTTTGTTTGTTTATTCTATGAGAATGATGATTACCCAATAAAGAGGTTCCACCTTTCTGGGGATGTTTTCCATTTTTTTGAAATATGGAGAGAACTTGGCTAGCATTTTAAGGGCAGAGAAAACAGAAAGTGTCTTATGATGCTTAACTCAAACTTCAAAAGCAACAACCTTTGTTCTGTGTGACACGTTAGTGCCCTATTGGATGGCTAGGCAAGAGAAAGCCATGTTTGTAATTCTATAAGCCTGGAGCCTCACTTCATTTTCATAGAAAATTTCAAAAATATTTTTGAATAATCCAGGAATTGGCTTTGTTTAGGACTGCACCAAACATTACCATGTCAGGAGTTATGTCACCAATAGCAAAGCACATTGTGATGTCTGATGCCGAACGTCTCAGCCTATACCACACAGTTGTTGAATTCGTGGGAATTATACCAAAAAAAGTAACATATACTTGGCCCTTATTTCAAAATGTCAGACAAAGAGGAAGACGCTCACAATATTCAGCTTGTTTTCTTATTACTTATTATAATTGTGTGCGTGCATTCGTGTGAGACGAGCTGTTCAGAATCGGTTCTCTGGGAATCAAACCCATGTTGTCAGCGTGCATGACAGGCACCATTAAGCATCTCTCCAAGATTCACCTTATGTTTGTTAAGTAATGCAAATTCTTACTTAATTCATGTCATTTTACCCAGCACAGCTGTGTTTGAATATTGAACTGTGTTTCAAGTGAATATTACTTTATTATAAATCATGTCTACCTGAGCTTGTGAATCATTAGGAAAGCACTGACTTAGCATGTGTGATGCCCTGGGTTTGACTCAAAAGCATAACTAAATGACTTACTTTTATTTTTTTCTTCTGTAAAAGAATAGTATTTACTTTTAATTATACGTAGGCTGACCACCTGAGTTAATTTCACCAGGAGATCCAGTTTGGAATAATTTCTTTGGAATATAAATTTCATGACGTGAAGGACATCTAGTTTCCCAGCTTTCCCCAGTTTCTAGGCTAGAATCTGCTTTGTAAAGGATGCTTATTTTAGTTATGTTCTTGTTGGAATTTTTTTTAATGCTCTGACAATAGCGGCAATTCAAGGGAGAACGTTCATTTTGGCCCATAGCCAGATGGAGGATCTAGGTCAGCAACTTGGGGAAGACACGGCAGCAGGCAGGGTAGGCACGGTGACAGGAGCAGGAGGGCTGGTCACGGTGTCTTCATCCAGGAGGCAGAGAATGAAGAGGAGCTGGCCCACCCCTGTGACCTTCCTCCTTTAGAGAGGATCCCTGCTCTAAAAGTTCTCCAACCTTCCTGAACAGGCCAAGCATTCAAAGACATACACCTGTGTGCAAGAGTTCCTATTCAACTACAAACTTATCAAATGTTTTAATCATCACCACATCTTGGCATGGATGTTACAGTGTCTCAGCTTACTTTTTATAACATTTGAGTGCAAGGGAGAATCTGCAATTTGGTTCATGATTCTTCGTCTCAGCGTGTGCAGTCCTTTCTTTCCCTCCCCATTGAATAAGTCCAGAATGAAGCAGTTTTGGTTTTGTTGGTGGTATTTGTTTGTTTGCAACATATAGCCCAACTTGGTCTTGAACCCAGTACTTCATGCATGCCAGCTAAGCTCTCTACCAGCTCTGTCACGTTCTTAGTCCCATTGTTGTCTGTCAATGAAACATCTGTCTCTCTGACTTACCCTCCAACCTTAGAGTTGACCAAGTTTGTGATCATTTTTTTAAAACTATTTTAAAAAAAGAAAAAAAAAACTACACAGACAAGTATGGTGTTGGATGCCTGTAATCTAAGTATGGGAGGGAGGCTGCAGCTGGATAATCATGAATTTGAGGACAGCTTGGGCTATATAATACTTTCTTTAAAAAAACAACAAATATATATGCATATGTGTGTACAATTATATATATTTGCATTGTAGATACATGTATAAATGTATATACATAGGTCTTCTTGTAAGTGTGTGTGTTTCTACCTTTATTTTCTGCTTTAGTGTATGGTATTCTATAAATATAAGCTGCATTCTTCTTTCTCTAAAGAAACACCACTTCTTTTTTTTTCTTAGCTGT